TAAAAGTTATGTGAAATTATACTGTCTATCCAACTGAAGAAAAAAAAATATAGATTTAAAAAAATAGCGAAATTAGTACTCACATCCGGTGTAACCGGAAGTACAAAAAAAATGATTTCATGTCGTAATAATCCGTTTTAGCGACCTAACTATGCATTCCAAATGGTTTTCTTATATCACCAATAATAAAGAAAAATATGGGGGTGAGCCACTTTTAAGGGACACCCGGTATATTGTAAACCGGCGCAGATTATCACAGTTTCTATCATTTTCTGGTAACTCATTGAACCATAGAGCAGCGTGGTATGTTATTTTCTTTCTACAAACATTTCTCGCAGTGGGAAGAACATGTATTAGCTGATTTGTTCTAGTATTGTATTTATATATATCATTATTACATAGAAAAAAATTGTTGTGTCACTGAGGAAGTTGTTTTTCATTTTATATATTAACTTGAGGCTATCGATCTAATAATCTTCGTTATATTGTAAATTTTCAGTTCACAGTACAAGCTAGTCGTACTATATAACGGTGGCTTATTAAACAGAATCCTTAGAGCTTTATTTTGTGAAACATGAAGTGCGGCGATGTCACCAGCACGAGCTTGGCCCCAGAAGGCTGCTAGATAGATTAGGTGGGAATGAATGCGTTTTTTTATTCACTCTATTATCTCTGTTACTAACGAAGATGCAGTGTTTTAAAGCGAACGCCTGTGAAAACAAGACAAACAAGCATACAAAATCTAAGGTGGCGCGCTAGGTAGCGTATCTCAGTTGTTTCGAATAGTAAATTGACAGTTGTCAAAGATGCCGTTGTCAATAACTGATGTTGCACGTATTATTAGTTTAATTGAAGATGGCAAAAGTCAGCGGTACGTTGCCCATACGATGGGTATACCCCGAACAACAGTTCAGGATGCCTGGAACCGATATGTGGAAACAGGAAATTTTACTAGGCGGCAAGATTCCGGTAGAAGACGAGTGATAACAGCAGTTGATGATCGATTTATTGTGCTAAACACTCTGAGGAATCGTAGAACGACTGCTGTAGAAACTCGGCATCGTCTTCACATGGTGCGTGGGGTTGATGTAAGTGAACCAAGACTCCATTCGTCGAAGACTTGCTGAAAGTGATCTAACTGCAAGAAGACCTGCCAAAAGACATCGGCGAGCACGTCTTCAATTTGGGCGCCTACATACGAATTGGAAAATGGAACAATGGGGTAAGGTGCTCTTCACCGACGAGTCCCGATTTTGTCTCCGGTCACATGATGGTCGAGAACGAGTGTGGAGACGTCGTAATGAAAGGTTTGCGACCCGCACAATTTCGGAAAGAGTACCTTTCCATGGAGGTTCGGTCATGGTATGGGCGGGTATTTCGACGGAAGCGCATACAGCGCTCATCTTTGTTGAAAATGGCACGCTAAATGCCCACCGTTATATCGAAGATATTCTGCAAGAAGCTGTCGTGCCCTATGCCCAGTTTTAGTTTTCAAGGCCAGTGATTTAAGGCGCCACTTTTAACAATAATTAAAAATCTCTATAGGTTTCTTTGGAAATTCCCGGCCACACCATCACAGAACCACCATCGAAACTTTCGCGTTTCATAATTGTATAGTCCACAAATATTTCATTTCAACGTCTTCATATTCGCTCCTGACTATCGGGTGATAGTAGACAAAATCACTACTCATCCGTAAAAAGGACCTCCATTGCACTACTCATTCCTCCATTGCTCGATCTCCAAATTCACATGTAAGCGCGCAGATTGAAGACGCGCACGTCGATATCTAGGAAGCAGCCTCGGCCCTTTGGTAGCCTTCTTGCAGCCAGACCAGTTCTAGCAAGTTTTCAGCGAATGGTTCTCTCACTGACATCAACAACACGCACCATTTAATATGATAATTGTAATATCACCTATATTTAACTTAAGTTGGTTATCACAGTTTGATTTTTTAAACACGAAATAATAAAACTTGTCGATATTTAGTTTCACCCCTATGCTCTTCTGACGATTCAACAACAGCTAATGATCAACCACATCAAATGCCTTACATAAGTCCAAAAATACAGCCAAAACTGTTCGTCCAAGATCCACATTATCATAAACAAACTGCATTACTGAAGTTATTGCACTTTGTGTACTTTTCTTTTTAGAAAACCATGCTGACTCTCCGCAATAAAACCAATATCATTTAAAATTGCAGTAATCTATTTTTCAGTACCAGCTCATATATTTTGGCAAAAGCAGTTATGACTGATATCGGCCGATAATTGGTTGCTTCTACTTTCGGACCCTTCTTGAATATCGGTGTTATCCTTCCAATCTTTAGTTCTTCCGGGAAATTCCCCTTCTTCATGCTTCTATTAAGAAGACTAGATAGAATCGGTGAGAGGATCTCTTTGAAACATTTAACTTTAGGCTTGATACCATCATGACCTGGAGCTGAATTAGTTTTAAGTGCTGTTATTATCATCATTACTTCGTCTGACGTAGTAGGTCTTAAGTACATTGAGTGTTTCGGTTTCCACTCATTGTCTACTAAACTATTAGTGTTTACTTGATCTCTTACGATTTTTTCTGTAACACAGGTAAAGTGTTCATTTAGAATATTACAGATTTGTTTCGTGTCCTCCGTTTCTGAATTATCTTTATCTAATATTTTATGGATTCGTTCCTGCTTATTATTTATCATTATTGAATCATTTATGACCTTCCATTGCTTTCGAGCAGAATCTTCAGCATTATTAAATTTGTATACCAAGAATCATTTTTTTATTCATTATGACCAACTTCTTAACATCAGATCTAAGTGTTTTAAAAGATGTCTGATATGCTAGATTGTTAGGGACTCTCTTCATAGCAACATACATGTCGTCTCTCTCCTTCATTCGCATTTTTAGCTCACCTGTGAACCATCCCTCTTCAAGGTTAGTTGTTAAATTCCTATCTTTTGTTACTGTTACCTTCTTAAATCATCCTGAATGCAATCAATGACAGCACTGAATGTAGATGACGTTCGGTTTTCAATGATTCAAGCTCCATTCCAATAACTCTGGTTAATAATATAAAATTTATAATTTTTGAGGTATACCTTTGCTTCTCCACGCGTACACCTGCACAGTTGAGCGGAGTTTTCAGCAACATATGATCGCTTATATGGTGCGAAAGAAGCTCCAAGTTCGGGTTATAATCAAAATTTGTGATTACGTGATCGAGTATGGACTTACAGCCTGTCCTAGGATCCACTCTTGTAGCATTTTCAGTATCTATCGTGTTTATTATTCTATAACCATTTATCTGTAACGTATTAATATATTCCCGAACGATGCTTGTGTTTTGTTCCAAAAGAGATATGTTGAAATCTTCTATACAAATAGTATTTACACGTCTTAATACCATTTCGAGCGCATCCATGAAAGGCCAGAAGGATGAGCCAGGCTTTTTGTAGACTCCCGTAATGTTTATATTGTGAAATCTAAGTCTTATTCAAAGAACTAATTGATTCTCATGAATCAGCAGATTTCTGGTGATGGTTTGGAGGGGCCATACTGCTTAGCGTTGGGAACCAGTGAAGAGGAGTAGCTTTAAGATGTTCCTCTACTGATATTGTTGTCATAGTCGAGTTCAGTTCTGTGTCGATTTTTTCAGTATATGGACTGTTTATCCAGGCGCGCATGGCGCGCAGTATTATGCAACAAAATAATCTAAGGCAGGACAGAACTTTTTTTAATAAGAGTGTTTAGTCCAAGGTGACATCTAGGTATTTGAGAAAATCTTGTTGCTACAGCGTTCTGTTATTACAACTGACCTGGATTAAAATTGATTAAACAAAGTGCAATCATTTGTTGTGATCTAACAAATTTAGCCAAATTAGTATTTCAAGTTATTGGTCACAACGCTTCAAATACTTGTCGCGGCTAGATGCTGAGGAAAGCATTTTGCTCAAGAAGTGAAGTGTAACGATAAACATTTAACGTTTTGTTTGCATTTAGTTTTGTTATTAACATGCCAAGGCAACTATGTTGTTCAGTAAGCTTCCTTTAATTTAATTCGATCCTAATTCAATCGAAACATTGGGACATTTCTTGACACAGTTAATTTCCATCAAATATTAAAATCAGTTTAACTAATCACAACTATTTTTGAAGAAAATATTTCTTAACCCTACATTTAGATATCCTGGTTATACACCAATATTACTTAGGGCAATAGAACTATGGTACCATGATCCACAGGTGACAACGCCAATACTAAAATTATTTGCTGAACTAGTACAGAACCGGTCCCAAAGGCTATTATTTGACGTTTGGTCACCAAATGGTATCTTACTTTTCAGGGAGGCTAGTAAAATAGTCTGTAGTTACGGTAAGTTATTGAAACATAACGGTCTTAAAAGCAACTGATAATTTTTGTCCTTTTGTTTCGATTTTTTTAAAGGTAGTAGAATATTAAATGTAGAGGTGCCTAAGGACCAAACGTATCCGCTCAAGCTGAAGGGAATCTCGATATGTTTTTCGATGCTTAAAGCGGCATTGTGCGGCAATTACGTCAACTTTGGTGTGTTTAGATTGTATGGGGACGAAGCGCTCGACAACGCCTTAAACATTTTCGTCAAATTGTTACTGTCGATTCCCCAATCAGATTTATTGGTAAGAAAAATGTAAAAAAATTGTTTGTATTTTATCAAAATTTAATTTTTAGGATTATCCGAAATTATCACAAACATATTATTTGCTGTTGGAGTGCCTGGCTCAGGATCACATGAGTTTCCTATCGACGTTGGAGCCTCACGTGTTTCTCTACCTTCTCTCGTCGATATCGGAGGGCCTCACGGCTTTAGGTGCGCAACTCAATAACTACACAGGTCTGTACGGCTCAGGGACAAAAGCAGCACAAATATTAAACAAAAAAAAACGAAACTTCATCATGATGTTTGCTTTAATATCATTTTCTTGACTGATATCTTCTATTCTTCTCTTTTTCGATTTTAACTATTTAACATTCAATATTTTTATATACAATGTTTTTATTTTACATGAAACAAAAAAATTCTTTAAATTGAATTAATATGTATGACTGGTTTAGTCCAAAGAAAACATAATAATTTTAAGATTCATAAAAATAAGGTTTAATTAGCTAAATTTACATGATTAAGTTGAAATTTTGAAAAGGATTTAATGACAACAACCTTCTTGTCCATATTGTTTTTATTTAATTGGTAACACAATCATCAAACAGAATTCACAATCGTAAAAAGAAACAAGAAGGTAGACATAGAGTACAACTTTTGTTGTTGGCTCTGTTGATATGTATGTGTAATACATTTTCTAATCTATCTAAAGTGCTGCAGCCTTTTGTTGAATTTAAACTATTGGTGTTAAAATCATGAAGCCAACAAATGTTATGATGAAAGTCCTTTAAGATCTTTACACCTTTGTTGTTCCATATCGACTCGTTTCTACTCAAACGGAGGAGACAAAAGAATTGATATAAAAGTTATAGATAAAAACTCATTATAATATCACTAATTAAGAATTACGCCTGGTTTATAGAAAAGTTTACTTCCAAATGGGTAAGTAAACATCTCAGTCGTCGTCCTGGATGCCAGTTAGCCCATAGTTCTGTTCTGCTGGGTGTTCTGTGGATGTGCCCCTTATGTTCTAATCTGTGGCATACCAGTAAAATTGTATATCACTTTTTGCATTGAATGCCAATCCTGTACAATCTTAGTTTAGGTTTGAGCGTTAAATCCTACTGTATTTGCTTGAAACAGGGCTCATTTTTTGTTATGTGCTCAAGCAATGCTGCGGAACAGAAAAAAATATTTAAAAACAAATAAAAGTTCAACAATTTTCTTCGTAGTCAGAGTCAACATATTCAAGAACCACTGAGGCTGCTATTTAATATAGAAAACCATCCTATATTTTCTACTGATTTTGGTTGGAATCTTTTGATATGGTTTAAACCAATTGATGATCCCAAACGTGTCATGCCAAGACATAACTTATATCTGATGAGCTTTTCACAGATTATGTTAGTTATAATCTTCTGAACACGAAATCATGGTTTGAATCATTGTAACAGTTTGGTCTATGTTGAGGTAATACATGCCTGTATTGAGTTTGTCATATAATGGGGCAACTTTGGAAACTTCATCATTTTCGATCATGGCCATGCTTCGTGAGATGTTAAAATTCTAAAAAATAAAAAAAAAACAGCAACATACCATATTTATTACAGCATCCCAAAGAATACGGCAGATTTGTCTAATGGCCTTTATAGATTAAACAGGCACAAACTGGTGATAGAATTTAAGTTATCACAGTAAATGTATGTTGGTGGTCTGCATGTGCTGCGCTTTATTATTCTTGGGCGATACTACGTCACCCTCGCAGTCTATCTAGCTTTTTTTTGTCTGGCGACGGTGACCCACCCATTGCTATTTTAGGTCCGCGACTTGTGCTATTATGTACGAGTTCTCCGGCAGATATCCTTATTTTTGATTTTATCTCAAATTGATACCAAGCATAGCTCGATTTTATGCTCTTTTCTGCATAATCTGCAACTGGTTTACTCCTTTTTTCGTAATCGCGATAGTTTCCAGTTTGCAGGTCGCCACTGGCAGTACACATGAGTCATATATTTTACGCTTGAGGCTTATTGGTATATCATTGTTTCTCGGTATGTGTTTTAATTTGTCACGTCAATTGTAGTCTGCGTGTTTTGTTTTGATAAAGTTCATCTTTAGCCCCACTCCTTTGGTCGCTGTACTTAGTTCTTGGACATCGCTGGTGATTATGACGACATCTTCTGCAAAGTGTAGATGGTTTAAATAGGTCCCATCCATGTTAACCCATCCATGCCTTTGGTTTCCCATGAGAGTGGCTTGAGGGTGTTTTCGAGTGCCTAGGTGAAGAGGTTTTGGGAAACAGTGGCTCACTGGTATACACTTCTCTTAACTTGAATTTTATAGGTTGCTAGATCTTTGTTAATTTTGACTTGAAGTGTGGCGTTTGCATATATGTATATGTTTCAGGAAGTTTAGGAATTTAGAAACTCAGTTTCTGTATACTAAATAATCCATCAGGTTATAATAAGTTACCAATAGAAGCTTGGATAATGCCAGTGGGTTACTGGCTTTATGATTTTTGTCTAAAAAACAATTTTCATCACATTGGCAGAAACATTGATACAGATGTCGAACATTTTGGTCTCCTCTACCAATAAAAATCTTCATACAATCGTCTTAATTTTGCTCAAATTTGTTGTAGTTGAGTCTAGGTCAACAACTCTTCTTCTGCCAATTTGTTATAAACGTTTTCACCCATTAGTGCAGGAAGTTAAAAAAATTTTTTTTTCTTTAATTTTATGATCTGTTATATAAAAAATGAATTTTTATTGGAAAAAAAAATTTGCAAATCGTCCCTTAAAAGGGACACTGCACTAATGGGTTAAGCAAATGTTAATTTTCTTACAAATTCCTTTCTGAAATAAATGACTTACTGAACTTGGGTTAATGATGAAATAATTGTTTATTTAGGATATCCTTGTTCTCTTGACAATTCCTTTCTGCTTCAGAAGTCTACCTATATGAAATCCTATTTGCCATCAAAGATCAAGTTGAAGAGTTTGTAAACACATTTGTCATCGATAGTCATTCGTCGCAGATTTCGATGGTTTGACTATCTCTATTCTTTCGTGATTTTTTATATTGTGACTTTAGCTCGCTGACTCTTTATGCCTTTTAGATTTTAAAAATATCAATACCATTTTCTCGAAGAATTTTTTGCAACATCCTGAGCGATTTGAAACGATATTCTGTTATTGGATTATATTGGAATATCATTATCGACATTAGGTTAGACCATTGTTATAATGGTAACCTGAGGTTTGTTCTTCCTACATTTATTAGGCAAGCATTGACTTCTTAGTGTTAGTCAAACATAAAAAAACGGCTCCCTGGCAGGATTTGACAGTTTCTATGTCAATGTCTGGTAGTTACTATGGTCGTTTGGATAGGCTTGTTGTTAGTTTTGGAAAACGCATTGATACCATTTCAAGTTTCCTTCCTTCAGTTTTCTTTTGTACCATACTCCATTTATAACTTCAGCTTTAGGAATAGGTAATTGTTGTAAATCGATGACAGCTGTGCAAAAATGTTGATGGAAATGTTCCAATTCGCTATTCATCCTCATTTGATTATTTTCTTTCGACATCTTCAATTTTACAACCTCCATTTTTTGACCTGTGATTTTCTGATCCTATGCTGCAATGTTGCTTAATTGCGATCTTATTTGGCAACAAGTTGGTGTGGATTGTAAATTTGGTCCAGATTTCGCTTAGTTTTATTTTATTTTTCAAACTACGCAGACTTCGTTGCCAAACATTGGTAGCTAGTGGAGCCACAAAAAGTTCGTCGCTTTCTGAAATACATGAGGAACAATCTCACAAATTTCGGAAGATGGGCTGTTGAAGTGGAGGGCTTAGGTTCGTCTGTTTTTCATGCTAATAAAATAATACAGTTTTGACCTTTCTGCATCGGTGGAGAATTCAAGAAATATAGAATAATTCAAAAATCACATTTTTCGCTTCTCATACAGACTACTTATGATTGTTTTCTCCGCGTAACTTAATATATGTTGATTATTCCCCTTAACTTGTATCTCCTAAATTATCATTTTTGGCCTCCTCTGTATCAAAGTTCATTTTTGTTATCCAGCATCTAATTTGTTATCAGCGTTACACATCAATTAAAATTTTGCAATTGCGTCGTCATTAATGTAATCTTAGATTAGAACATTTAGAATTCAAAGAATTAAGTTCCTTTTGGAAAAAAAATTAAATAGCCAGATTTATCCGTTCATTATGATTCTTGTCATTTTAAAGAATTTAAAATCAAGAAAACTTTAAAATTATCCTTTTATATGTTAAATGGTTAAATTTCATTGCCTGGCATAAACATTCTAAAATGAAATGCATAACATAAAATAATCTCTTTCTCTTTGATCTTTACAAAACAAAAAAAAACTAATTTTTCACACTTTAAAAACTACAAATGATGAAGTTTCAATTTGGTTTTAAAAAATAAATAAAATATAAAATGTTCAGACCCCAGGTGCGATTGATTGCACATTGCACCTGGCCTGGCGACAATAATTTTTGTAGTTTGTAGAGAATCAAACAAAAAAACCAAAACGACACAAAAAAAAACAAACGTTTATTTTTCCCAATTATGAGTTTTTAATGTACTCTTTTTTTCCTCGTGTTTTTTTTTTAATTATTTTTTTTGTGATATCATTTTTTGATTTGACTACCGCTAGGGTCTGCGCTGACGTCTCTGACTGTACAATTTGTTTACAATTATACTAACACTATTCGGCTTTTTGCGATTACTTTGTCATTTATCGATGATGACGTCGACAAGGATGATGTTGCATGCTTTTGCAATGGGATGCTTTGTGTGCTTGAGGGATTCTTTTAGTTTTAATGATTTTTTTTATGACTGGTAGTAGCTTGTGAACGTTACATAATTTAAGTACCTACTAATTTATAATGTTTTTTTTTAACAAAGAAAAAATAATAATTTAGAAAAAAAATCGTTTAAAAATAATCAAGTTTAGGCTCGATTTTATAATCTTTAAAATTAATTTTTAATTATTTTAACATATTAATCATACTCAAATTTAACAGATTGTCAAGTGTTTATAACACATACATATATTCAAAAGATAGATAAATATTGAAAAATATCACTTTGTTGGACGTAAAGTTTCGGGGCTAAACACTTCAAAGCATTGGTTACGTTCTCGAGATTCGTGCATTCAATCTACACACAGTGGAATCAACAAGCCCTGTCTGAAATAG